GGTGAGAGGGTCGAGCCCTGTCAGGGCAGGTTCCTGTTGGTGCTGAGAGGCTGCTGCGTGGGTCAGGGCTGCCCACAGCTCTAGCTCACCAGGACATTTTGAGAGTGGAGATTTCCACTCCGGTACACTTGTGTCTGCATGGTGGGAATAGAAATGTAGCAGAAAGGTTTAARAAAGKRRCACATCATCTTTCTCACCACTGTGAAAATTGGAGAGGTTTGCCAGGAACCTCATCTAGTGCCTTCAGCAACTCTCAGCCTGCAGACAGTACCGAAAGCCCCTTGCCACTCTCACCAGAGACTCTCTGAGGTGCTCTGTAGCACCTGCAAACAGGGAGATGTCCCGAGGTGCTCCTTGCCCTTTGCTGCTTTCTCTATGGCTGAGCAGAATGGTCAGCAAAGGGGCAGGTGTCTATGGTGCGGACAGGGATAGAGCCCTCATCAAGGACATCTCCAAGCAGCAGAGATCTGATCTGAGGCAAGAGGAACCTGCTGCCAAAACCTGATGCTATGTTGGGGTGCAGGAAGTTCTTTGCCTGCCCCTGCAGAGCAGACACTTTCCCATCCACAAGCACCGTACACCCTTCCTCTGGCACCCAGCAGAACCTCTGCCTCCAGGCTATGGGGTGGAGGACACAAGGTTTCTTTTTGGCAGCCAGAGCCCCAAAAGAGGAGAGCAGCAGCTCTGCTGACAACTGTCCATTTCCTCAACCAGGGGAAAAGGACTGGCAACAACCCCACTGTGATGTCTCCATGCAGGAGCTTGTGTGAACAGTTGGGCTAGGGAAGGCTGTCCACAGTGTGCCTCTCTGCTRTTGCCTTTGCCAACCCAGGCAAAAGCACCAAGGTGTTGCTGCTTGTTTCCCTCCCAGGCTGGGCTGCCCTTGTTCTTCTTCTTGGACATTCTGGGGAATTAATTTGCAGCTTGAGAGTCTGACCTAGACTCTTGGTTTCTGCTGCAGAGGTGCCTCCCAATGGAGGGAGAGGACGAGGATCCCTTCTTGCCCTTGGGRCKCAAAGCAGCACAGCCTGTGGGTCAGGAGCTGATCATCTTTTSAGGAGATGCCACCTGTAAGGCCCTTGGCCCTGCTGGGCTCTGCTGCTAGGATGTGTGTTGCCCTGCAGTGGGGCACAGCTCTTCCTTAGGACATTTGTGATGGCTAAATGTGCCATGTAGAAGCCACAGAGGTGCCAGGGAAAGGGAGATGCTCCTGTGGGTGGCTGTATGTGAGCAGCTGGGCTAAACACTGTGTGTCTTTGTGTAGAAGCTGAGTCCTGAATTATCTGTCCTTACCAGAACCAGGAAATCGGTCCTTGTTCTGATCATCGGAGCCATGTGCAGTGTTGCACTCTCTGCATCATTCTTGGGACATCAGAGCTGAGAAAGAGAGGTGAGTTTGGAGGACAGTGTGTTGCAAGTGGATACCAAAGTCAGCACAGGCTATGGGTGCTCAAGAGTGTCCCCTACCTAGAGAGATGCCCACGCACAGCATCTGAGAATGGGATCACTGTGAAACCAGTGTCCTGCAGTGTGATAGGACACCGGAAAAGGTATCCTAAGGTCTGAATAGTCTTCACATGGAGAGCAGTGTAAAGAGTGTCTGGAGAGCAGACAAAGAAAAGCAAAGATTCTYCCCAAAGTGAAATAGTTGCTTTTGTGGTTAAAATGCTCCGTAAGTGACTTTGAAAATACTGAACTGCCCTTAAATATTATAGCAGGACTGACTTCTCCRGAGTCCATGGGCAGAGGTCCCAGATCTTCCTGGTAAAGTCAGCCAGCAGGAGCTGGAACTCCAGACAGGGAACTGAACTAAGGTCTTTAAAAGAAGGAATGTGTGCGTGCGTCTGCATGTGTGTCCACATAGGCAGAAGAAGGTGTGAGGAAGGGAAAGAGCTTTGATAGGAAATATGTCTCCTGACTTGTGACTGTGTTTTCCTCTTTGCACAGTCCCAAAATGCCTGCAGAGAGCGAAACATCCAACAGCAGYTCCTTCAATGAGTTCCTGCTCCTGGCATTTGCAGACAGGCGGGATCTGCAGCTCTTGCACTTCTCCCTCTTCCTGGGCATCTACCTGATGGCCTTCATGGGCAACGGCCTCATCATTATAGTCGTAGCCTGCGACCACCACCTCCACACCCCCATGTACTTCTTCCTCCTCAATCTCTCCCTCCTCGACCTTGCCTCCATCTCCACCACTGTCCCCAAATCCATGGCCAACTCCCTCTGGGACATCAGGAGCATTTCGTACTCTGGATGTGCTGCCCAGGTCTTCCTAGTAACATTGTTGTTTTCAGCAGAGTTTTCTGTCCTCACAGTGATGGCCTATGACCGCTTTGTGGCCATCTGCAGACCCCTGCACTATGGGAGCCTCCTGAAGAGCAGAGCTTGTGTCCAAATGGCAGCAGCTGCCTGGGCCAGTGGCTTTCTCTATGCTCTTCTGCAGACTGGGAACACATTTTCCATTCCACTGTGTGAAGGCAATGAGGTGGATCAGTTCTTCTGTGAGATCCCCCAGATCCTCAAGCTCTCCTGCTCACACTCCTACCTCAGGGAAGGCTGGGTTACTGT